CCAATAAATAAAGAAACCGTAACTGGTCATTTCGCACAAAAGACTTTTAGCACAAGTTTTGGACCGTTCGCACAATTCTTAGTGGTCATTTCGCACAATAATTATAAGTGAGAAACATCAATATAAAAGGTATACTGAGTGATACTGATAAGACATTTCACCTTCACATGTCACTTTCAATAAGATCCAACGGTGAGAACGTAAACATTTATTTACGTACTAACTTCAACTAGATCGAAATGTAATAATAATTTTTTATTATAGGAATATCCGCACAAACAACGACATCGAGGGTTGGTGAAAAGTCTTTTGTGCGAAATGTCCTGTATTCAAAGAAACAGATTCTGCAACAAAATTAATTTGTGTCAATTGTATGAAGTTATGATAATAGAAATAACATGCTACTTCCTCTTAAATTAAAAATGGAACGTTTCTGAATTTGATAGCACTTCAGACATTTATTAGAACAAAAGAAAGTGTTTGGTGTTATTTTAGGAGAAGTGTTCAAATCAACAGGACTGACTTGGTACACCAACATGGCTCACGTTTCATAGTTTATATTGCCAATTTTGGCACACTGACAAACTGTGAGAATTTATTGGACAATCAATGAAGTATGAATTCAGCTTGAAACAGTCTTACCTGTTCTAAAGAGTCCTTGTGAAACCTCAAAAAGTTTTCAATGTCCTCTAACTCTTCTTTCATTTTAGTCTCAGCACAGGAGAGAACTGGAATGCCACGGTGAGCATAGCGGTAGAGAGCTTCCAGTCTGCAAGCAATATGATAGTTCTTACACTAGGCATGATAACTGTTGAGCACAAAATCATTGAAATCAGATAGCAACCCATGTTCGTTTAACTTTCTTATTAGAAATAGGTGATTTGGAAGGGAATTTTGAGGTTACTTCAACCTATGAAAATTCTAATGACAGATAGTTTCAACACCATGAAACTAATTGATTACAGCACTTCAAACAAACAGTACCGGTACATGGTGCAGTTGGATCTTAGCAGAAAGCCTTGGGGCTACCAAAAGTGTCCAAAGAAAAGAGGTATCCTATTTGGGAGGTTAAAAATAGGATTTTTCTTTGCCTGAGGTGTTATTGTGTGTCTGGTTAGAGAACGTTTCTTACAAAAGAAGGTAGATTATACATTAGCCTATCATCAAATGCGATATTACCTTTGGACAAGTTGCATATGTTTATCTGAAGTATCCACCAGTCTTTCTGCCAGTTTCTCAGCCTGGTCTCTGAGGTAGCTGCTGACATCTTTAAGTTTTCTCAAATCTTGGGTCTGCTGTGCTTTCTGATCTTTTAGGATTGAGATCCTAGAAAAAATATTTTTTTCATTTTAAGTACTTAATAAACGGCTGTCAGTAAAATTATGATTTTCTTCTGGATAGCTTTCTCCCTTTCTCCCTATGATTTATATCCTGCATGTCATTTCAGATTTCTGCAGTGTTGCCAATAATTGAGATTACAGTCTTCCAAGTGATATTCTTGTTTGTCTCATTTAACCATTTACACCTTAACATCAATTTATATTCTCCACACTGTTCCTTATACATTTCCTATGATACTGACAAGGAGAATTTGTTTCACAATCACAAGCTGCTTTAGTTTCCGATCATTTTTCCTAATTCTCCTGACCTTAATATTTGATCCAGCAGTGATGTTGTAAGAAGAGCTTAGATCCAAGTCACTTAAAGGAGTTTAAGGGTTAACAGCCAAAATTGTCCTCAAGATTATCTTCTTTTCTGGATACTAAATACCTCTCACCACAACTCTTGTAATCACTGGACTAGTCTAACAACAAAATTGGCCTTAAATTGGAGCACTTACCAATTTTTTTAATTACTGTACATTATTAGTACTCGTGATGCATAATGTTTACCTTTTTTCTATCTCTTCCCTAGCTTCATTTTGTTTTTGAATGTACTGTTTTCTTAGTATTTCTTGCGCTTGTGTAAGCAGCTGATAAAGGTCTTGCTGTGAGATTTTTTCAGATTCTTCACCACCCCTGTAAGATTAATGCCATTTTATATCAGTTAAGATAAAAAGCAAAACAAAGAGGAAAAACAAAACAAACATGAGCAAGAAAAACTTCTGAGAATTCCTCTCTAACACTACGCTTATTTGGGGGGTGGAGAGGGTCATCATAATTTTAAAACCTGAGTTGCTTATTCACCCTTTACACCTTAACATCAGTATACATATTCTCCAAAATGTTCTCTTAACATTTCCTAAAGTGCTGACAAGGAGAATTTTTTAAAATAATCAAGAGCATCTTTAGTTGGTGATCATCTCCTTCATTCTTATGGCCTTAAAGTTTGTTCAAGGAGAAATTAGATTCAAGTCACTGTAAGGGGTTAAAGGGTTCATAGATTAATTGTTAGTTATCAATTAAATGTCTAATTTTTGTATATATTTTCATGGTATAATTATGCACTCACTGTAACAATGGTGTTGATGTGTTTCTTAATAGAATTTTCTCAATCTGGCTTTTGAATAATCCAACATTCAGTAGCCTTATTGGTGAAGGCCCAGCACTGTAAATAACATGTTAGGAAGAAGCCCATGAGTAAGATATCACATCCTTACATCAGTTTGTAAGTTCTCCATACTGTTCTTTACATGTTTCCTATGGTACTGATAAGGAGAATTTGCATAATAATCGAGAGCTTTTTGACCTTGTGGTCATTTTCTTTATTCTCTTGACCTTAATGTTTAATTCAGGGGTGATACTGTTAGGAAAAATTGCAAGCTTATCACTCTGGGGTTAAAGGGTTAATAAATAACAATGTTCCATGATCTTAGGTCCCCAGGAATGTCTAATTTGAAGAGAGAAAATATTGAGGAAACTTTTAATCTTTACATAAAACTGACAAACCAACCTTTCATGGCTGGTTTCTAGGTCTGCATCTGTTGTTGGAGGGGAATATGGTCTATCTAACAAACTAAATAGGAAATACAAAGACCAAACTATTTTTAATACAAAAGAAACTGAAAGAATAAACCAGTTTGTAAAGCTGACATTGACAAGAACATGACTGTAAATTTTCTAAAACTTTTCACAAGTAATTTTATCTACTGCATTTAAGGGGTAATTTTGTGAAATATTTTTGATCACCAATGCGCTTTATAATTGATTCACAGTAAACAGAGATATATGTCAATAATTCTTACTTCAAAGGTTGAACAATACATTCCATCTTTGAGGTCAGACATAGTATTGCAGAACCAAGGATTTTGCTATTTATCACACCAACACCAAGCACTGGAGATAGTGCACTGAAACAGCGTGTACAAAAAAAAGGATAAACATAATGACAAATAAGTTTACATAATAAACTCGTACATCAAAATAAGCATTCCCAACTTGCCTTAGTTAATACAGCCACCATGAAAAATCCTGAGCATGATTATTTATCACCAAATCCTTACATACCTTGCTGTTGGTGATGTACATATCATGTGATAAACAGTGGCTGCTTCATCAATGTCAAAGTAACTCTTATCATCTGGAAAAGAGTCAAAATTTGGGAAAAAATGCTTCAATTAACTAATAATTTAACTTTTTACATTAACCCTTTAACTCCCAAGATCTCATTAGTAATTCTCCTTACTGTCTGCCATACAATTCATATGATTCTAATTTGGAGAATTTGGTATTGGATCAACCAATAATCCCCTAATTGATATTTTTCTTCACTCTCATTACTTGTCTGCTTGATATCATATTGATAGTGTAAGGAGAAATTCTGTCTCGTGGGACTTAAAGGGTTAAGAAAAATCTGAAAATCCCCACATGCTACTATCTCTATATGGTAGGCACATATTATAGACATTTTTCCTATATCTTAGAGCTCTTCATGTCACAGAGAAAATATATTTTAGATGCTGTTCCACATGTAAAGAGTATTTTCAATGATGTTTTGTAAATGCACTGCTTGATTTTGAAATGCTTATTAACACTCTGCAAACTAGTTTTCCATCTGCCCAAATTTACCTTGCACACAAAAACTCTGTAGTTTCTTGGTCCAAGGCAATGAAACAGTGTGTACTCCAGCAATATGAGAACAATGATACAGATAAGGAGACACTGGATCTGAAGGGAAACAAATTTTGAGACTTGGAGCCACTTCGACAACTTTATAATACAATATTTACCTTCAAAAGACTACAGGGTCTACACTCTTTTCGACTAAAAACATTCCATGACTTTCTGTGATCCACACTCAAATTCCTCAGCTTTCCAGACTTAGAAAATGATGCTAGAAATTTTAACACTTTCAAGGATTTTCAAGACAAGTACAAACTCTAGATTACCTACTGAAGTTTTTCAGTTTCCTGAGTAAATTCATGGCAGGTTCCATCATTACTAACTAAAAAAGTTGATTATATTATTATGGTTTCAGTGAAAGATGTCTGTATACTTGAATATACACTTAATTGACCACTTCCCCAATGGGGTTGTTCAGGGCGAATATGAAAAAGTAAATAAATGAATGAATAAACATAGTGTCTAAAAATTCCAACTGGCAGAAGGCAGATTGGTTAGCTAAATACTAAGTGCAGCCAGGGAGTTCAACTTGGGGCAAATGAGAACCAATCAGTGAGTATCAGGGTAGAAGGCTTGAACCTGGGACCACCAGATTACAGACCAGTGCCTGAACCACTTGGCCACACCACCTTCCTACATCTTGTTTGCTATTTGTTATTAAAGAAGATCCCCTAAAGCATGGTATTCCCTGCTATAGAAAATTCACGGGCTGGTACCTCGCTGGAGTCTCAAAATGAACAAGTTTTCATTTTCATCAGACTCCTCTTCTGAAGAGCTCCTATCTGACTGGGATCCTGTTCCATCATTCAGTAAAGACAGCTGGAGTTCAACGCATTCATGAACCAAGAGTGAAAGCTTTCCATGAAAGCTATTGGTTTGAGTCTGTTCATGTCTGCTCCAGGAGACTTCTTCCTGAAAATACATCAATTTTTGAACACCTTTGACATACAACTTGATGCTTGTATCATCATCTCATTAAAGTTACGATAAAGTTACCATGGCTACCTAGTAAATAACTAGTTAAAAAACAATTAATAATGTTGAAACACAGGGTTTTTATTGAAAAATGTAGCGGAACAAAAAATACCTCCTCTGCATCATCAGATTCTTCAGATTCCAAAGCAATACAGTGATAAATTTTTCCACTTGCTGTTGCCATGACAATAACAGGGGGTTGACACTGAAGACACAGTAAAGAGCAAGAATCCTGACCATAATTATCATCTGCTGCAGGGAACATTGTAACGGGACCATAAACTTTTGGTTGATGCCTGTTAAAATGGAGGAAATCAGATATCATATCTTACTGGTACTTAATACACAAAAGTATAACTTGCATGTAAATCAGCTCAAAACGATATGTAAAAGTACAGATTACAGCACAAGTATATCAACACATTTAAAGTAAAGATAACATCAAAAGTAATACCATCTCAATAGCAGGTGGGTTGGTATGGAGAAGGAAAAGCAAACTATTCTATTCTAGTGAAGGATCAATACAAAAATACAGTGATACATACATGTAGGTCACTGAAAGAGAATTACATATAAATAAAGTAATATTTCGTGCAGCAATTTCAGAAGCAAATTTTGTTCTCTTTCTAAGGACTATTTGTGTGAAGTATCACTGCTGAAATTTGAGGTCAGCATTACCAAGACTTATAAGTATAAAACTACTGATACAGTTCTGGTTACTATTGAAAAGTAAAGGGTTATGTACCGGATCTGAGAGATTCTGTGAAGAAGATAAAAGATGTCTCCATTTTCTCTCAAAATGAAAACAGGGTAAGCAACATCTGGTTCAGAATCACTGGAGCTTAGTCTTGCTTTTGGGTTGGTATCTCTAACAGCTGGTGCAAAATCAAATGCAATTGCTTTCTCTCCAAGAGCAGCTGCAAATGTCAATGAAGATCCAATAGATATTGACTTCTGACTGTATTCAGCCGTCAGGGAAGAGGACTCCCCTAAGGAAATGGTTTCTTCCGGCGAAGATGGCTTGAGGATGTTGTAAAGTCTGTCAAAGACAACAGATTGTAAAAAGGAAGATAAACCAAATTGATGATGAAATGAAAACAAATTGACAAAAGGAAAATAGACTACACCACTGCTCAGGCTGCCTCCATGAGGAGGTCCATTTATCAAGTTTTTATCAACAAAAATTTGATTTTCAATAATGTGTTGACCCCTAAGAATGATTAGCACCTAATTATTCCCAACAATATCACCCCTGAATCACACACTTAGGACACGAGAATAACGAAAATGATCACCAACTAAAGAGCCTCTTGATTGTTAAGCAATTCTCCTTGTCAGCACCTTTAGAAATTTACTGAGAACAGTATGGAGAATATGCATACTGATGCTAGGTGTAAAGCAATAACTAAAACCACAGAATACCTCAAGTTATTGTCTGATGTAAGCACCATAAGATGAGTATCAGTTTGGCTTCCTGGATGCCATTTGACATCAAGGACCTTTAACTTGTGATTTGTAACAAAGAATCTTGAATCAATAGGAAATGTCCTGAAACAAATCATTCATGAACAGGTCAATTAAAGATAACATGTCTGGAGGCAGGAAGCATTGAAAAAAAAAATAACTATATGACCATTCCACTTATTTATAAGTACAACTGAATGAAGCAATGGAACTCTCTGGGTAAAATAATACATTTCACTTTAACTTTTCACTCCCATGATCAGATTGACAATTCTCTCTTCTAACTATCTTTAATTTCCATGTAAATTAGTCAAGAAAATTAGGTTTTAAATCAAGTCAGCTCCCTCTACAATGTAGCTGATGAGTTGGTCTATTCTCATCAGCTGTTCACATATTGGACCTAAATGGTTATGTGGTCAGCAAATTCAGAGATTCACAGCTAAAACAGTGTACCTGCAGAGAACTGATTCACTGCCACCATCATACGCAGCAAACTTTCCCCATCTCATTGGCATCTCAAGAACCATTATTCCTCTTTGTCCTACAAGCAAAAGGTACTTTGACGAAGCACTGAACAGCATGGAATGCACATCAAATAAAGGAGCCTCAGTGCATACAAAAGACTGTTGACAAAATTTAAACAGAGATTTTACATTTATAACCTTTTAACACCTGAGAGTGACTGTCATCTTATTTCTCCTTGTGAAATCAACTCTGAATCTATCACTAAAGTCATGAGAATAATGAAAATGATCACTACCTAATAAAGCTATTGATTATCTGACAATTTCTCCTTGTTAATACCACAAAAATGAGTAAAGGAAAGTGTGGAGAATATGCATGTATACTGATGTTAGGGTGTAATGGGCCTAGTGTGGGAACATTTGGACAGGTTTCAGTATATACCACTCTATTCTATTCTTAACAAAACCCCAGTCCCAAAGCTTATCCATTGTTTTTGCCATTGTCTCCTTTCATCAAAAAACCATATGCAATATGAAGTATGGGATTATATGGAAATCTTGCCAAATATTTTGTGACTTTTTTTTTTAATTGGGGTGATTTTGTTCTGACCTTACCAGTAAAGTATTTTAAGTCATAATACATGTTCATAGATCATGTCATAAGGGTTGAAGGAGAAAAATCAGTTAACCATTTAATCAGTCAATGATACTATCAATTGATTGATCAAAGAAACAATCAGAGGTTAAATCTGGCAATTGATCAGTCTTGCTGTCCAACTACTTAATCATTAAATCAGTCAATAATTCTGTCTATCAATCACTCTACTTACCAATCAAACTATCAGTCAATCTATCAATCAATCAATCACTCGACAAACCAATCAGACTATCAGTCAATCTTTTTATCCATCACTCAATCATCCCAGCAACCAGTAAAACTATCAATCGTTCAATCCAATTAGTAAGTCAGTAACCCATTGTCTGTCACTAGTTCACTCAGTTAATTAACAGTCACTCGGTAATTCAATTAGCTAATCAGTCAGTCAACCCTACAGAATCTTAGAGATTTATCAACTTACTTGGAACTTAGCAGACCGTCCTTTTTCAAAATGTAAGTTTTTCAGATTAGCTGTCAGAACACGAGTGTTCGAGGAATTCCATAAAAATATTTCACCATCATTTTCTATTAAAATGTTTTTTGATGTCCTTTCCGGCGATTCCTCTCTTTCTCTTGAATTTCCTTCACCAACCCTTGCAGAGAGCTCTCGGAAAACTGGGTGTTTAGGCAAATCAGTTTGCCACTTTCGACTCACATCCGAGTGCATTTTTGCCGCCATGTCCTTGTCTGTTACCTTAAGACTTACATGAAGTAACTCTTAACTCGTAACAAATGGATTGTGGGCTCAAAAAGTACGTGGCCAAGATGGCGGCCGAGGTAAAGTTTGGAGAGTTTCTAATTTTTTTCCCGTTTACTGCTGATATCCCGGATGCCCACATGTTTTTTACGGTTTATATATTACTTTTTATAGGTGATTGAAATCTTAAAGAAATGCGTCAACAAGATCACAAGTTCCAGTACGAAGGAAAGGCGACACGTTTGTGAGGAACTTCTATTGCCTTGCATCCAGAAACAGGGTATGCTACAATTTGTTGTAATTTCAGTGAACTATGTATGTACAGAAAAATGATCGATCTTAAGTATTCACGAGTGTTTTGATCAATATTTAAATGTTATCTTGAATGTCGCGGAAAATGACTTAATTATTGCGTGATTTGTTAATTGCCTTCAATATTGGAAACTTAGAACGTACTGGTCGATTCACGTGGTGCCATAGGTCCAGTTGAATTATTTTGGGACGGGAGAGGGGGGTGGGGGCGGCGGTTGTTGTCACTCAGGTATATTATGATGAGGAACCTAAAGGTTTTGTTTGGGCTATCATCGACGAAATCTCAAGTACTCGTCGAAGCCATGCATTTTCTAGTGAACATTTTTCGGTTTGGGAAGATTCTATTTGGGGTTTGCATTGATTTGGCGTAAAACCCACACAAGATGGTCCGGTGGGGGTACTCGCGAGGGGTCCTCCGGACCAAAGGAGATGGAATTGATCAAATGATGTTGATCATTGCCTCATTTCACCATTGTTTCTCTCCTCCTTATCAAAATTCTTGCTATTTGATTTTGTAGATTTTTCTGAGGCTGGAGTAAAAGCAGTGATCAAGTTGATATTTTTAACACAACATCGTTACAGGTAATTGATAACCTTTACAAGGCCAGGCTCTGATTATTCAAAGGGTGGATAACACCATCCACTGGATAAATCTCCATCTGGTGGATAGCGCAGTTTGTTTTGTCGACACTTATCTCCTGGATGGCAATTTAAATGTTGTTGATGTGTATTTCTCCAGAAATGATTACCTGTGTTTTATAGAAAATAATGAGTTCTGAAGAAATGACTTACTCCTTGTGTTAGCCTGTGAGTGAAACTTTGAAACTTTTACAATAGTTAAAAGTTGATATTTAGAGCATTAGCCCTTCATTATAGTTACTAACAGTTTTTTTGTTTGTTATGGAATAGTAATTTAGTCAGTTTCTAGATTTCTCCATTATCCTGTGTGCAAAGTGTGGCAGAGCTGTAAGGATGCAAAGGCTATTCTCACATGTGAAATTGTGTGGTGAAAAAGGAAAAAATTGCAAGTGCATCTACCATACTCTGCAGACAAGAATCAGTAGTACATGTGAACATTGTTCTTTTTGTTCTTTAAATTTTTGACTTTGCAATAAACTCAGTGGTCATTAAAAGGTATGGAGGGCTGACCACAAATGTAAATTTCTGAATGAAATGTATTATTTTTAATAATTTCAAGGTTAGATTTGAATGTCAAATGTTTAAAATTTAAAATTAGTAATTACCTCTCTTTATAGAGATAACCAGTCTAGAAGAGGGGTTGAAGAAGTCCTTAGAGTGTTGGCAGAAAAGCAAAGTAGGTGATATTGGGCTCAGAGTTTGGTGATACATGATTTTTGTTGAACTCAGTATATTTTGCTATTTACTAGTATATACCATCATCATGGTAATTTTTGTCTGTTTTATGTTTTTTTTTTTAAGTTGGTTATATCTTTTGTATCAGTTTTGAATTTGAATTGAAAATCACAAACCCTTGTTTTTTAATTAGGTGTGAATGCTGTCAAATACTTTTGTATGGTGTTTTCTGATGTTGAAAAACATATAACCTCATCAGCACCAAGGTAAGAATTTTTCTTGGATTTAAACTTTAAAAAAATCAAGTACTTATCCAAGGAGATTTTGAGTTAACTGATTATACCACAATGTGCTGGCTGAACCTGTGAGTCATAGCTGACATAGATTTTTTAAATTTTGGACAAAAAGTGTTGAATTTTCCTTTTCAAGCTCCATTTTCTTGAATTTGATTTTGTCTTCATTGAAGGTTTCTCTCTTCAAAAGTTTGAGAGATTTATATATTTTCAAGAAATTCTGAGACACAATGATCTTTAAAGGTCAATTCTCATTAGGTGTGGATAAATACACTTTTTTCATTTGACTGTACAAACAGTGAACATTCAGACATTCAAATAGTTGCTTTATTTGAACTTGTAAAGGGATCTTTGGCACTTGCTTGATGCAGGTAGACTTTAATGCTATTTTGAAACTTGAAATGAATGTCCCAGAGGTGGTAGTTATTTCATTTTATTCCAAGCTTGTACAACCTATAATGCTGTTGCTGTTTGTAAAATTAACTTTTAAATCTGTTTTTGTGGATTTGTTGCAGTTATGTGAACAGTGGTTCAAATCTTGTTCTTTTGTGCTGGTCGTGTGTCCTTGCCAGACATGTCTACAGCAAGACTGAATTGTGTAAGGATGCACAATGGATCAGACTGGTACAGGTTCAATGTCTGGCACTGCATGGAGTTCTGTCTGCTGGAACAGCTTGTGTTTGTGAAGCAGGAAAGAAAAAATTATACAGAGTCTGGAGAGAGGTACAGTATTGAAAGCTGGCTTGTGATTCTCAGACAGACTATGTTTTTTCTTTGTCTTATCATTTTGGATGCAACTTTGAAAGTCACAGGGCAAGGCTTAGAACATAACTTGATTGAAAAGAGATGATGCCAGATTACTCTTTTTAACCCCTTCACTCTCAAGATCTGATTATTAATTCTCCCCTCCAGCTGCTACACACCCCCCTGTTAATTAGTTATGAGAATTAAGTGTTGGATCAAGAAAATAGTGTTTACCTAATACCTTTGAGTATTCTCATTACTGTTTGCTGAATAATTAATGCATGTTATTGGGAGAAGTTACATGTTGATTGCCTCTGGGGGTTAAAGGGTAAATTAGTTGAGAAAAAGAGTAACAACCCCATATCACCTTTACCACAACAAACAACAAGTGTCAACTCGGCCCAAGGCAAAGCACAGAATATTTGGTTTGATAATGCGATGCTCTTACTGATTATTTGCTGTCTGGCATGAAGAGATGTGAAATTCATGATCCTGTTTTAGTTGGCTTGATATACTCTTGCCCTTTCATTAAAGGGTTATCTACGATGAATGTGTGAGCACTATTTCATGTAGTTGTCACTATCATCTGAATTTTTTTTGACATATTTTTCCAGGTTCCAGGAATCACATTTAAATATGCAGAAGCCATCAGCAAATTGGAGGCATCACAGGTAAACCTTCATATGGTACATTGCAATGAGATAAATTAAAATGCAGTATAGTATTTTCTTCTCTGTAGTGGTAGATTTTCTTTGACCTGTTGTACAACATAAGATATTTTGATTTTGATGATATTATAAGTCAATTAAGTCCAGCTATGAAAAATTTTCCTCCATTTAGACTATTAGAAAGAGTTGTTGTAAACACTTATTTCCATGATCTGATTTTGTTCTTTTTCAGGAAAACTGTTGCTTGACTGGACTGCTATTTAATTTTTGCACCAAAAATAAAGATGTTGAAACGATAGGTAAATTTAAGGTAAGATAGAACAAGAAATGTTCACCATTATCCATATTACCCTTTCTACCCCTCAGAGTAACTAGCATATTATTTTTTATGCTCTCCTTACAATATCACCCCTGAATCACACATTAAGGACACAAAAATAAAGGAAATGATCACCAAACAAAGAAGCTCTTGATTGTGAAACAAATTCTCCTTATCAGCACCTTAGGAAATGTATGGAGAACATTATGGAGAATTTGCATTCTGATGTTAGGGTGTTAAGGGTAATAATGTTATAATCTCTTTTTTGAGCAGAAAACATTGCTGGAAATGTACGTGAAAGCTGTGATTAATAGCAAGACAAGACCCTCCCATCATGTCCTGGTAAGAATAAAATTGTGGAATAGTTGGGCTCAACACTTGATCTTTTATATAAAATAATTCTGACAAAGTTTGAACAAATGCTGAGTGCAGAAGCAGGGATATACTTTGTATACCCTTCATTACCATTTTGCTCTACTACTGTGACTTTTGACCTTTGATTCCTCCAGGTGAACATTCCCCCTTTGCTCAGTCACGTCACCCATGACGACTTCAGCAGTTTAATCTTACCAGCATTACAGAAATCTCTGCTGCGAAACCCAGAGGTGGTTCTTGAAAGTAAGTGATGGATTAATTACATGCTTTTGCTCAGAAATAATTCTCTGAACAAAACTTACAAATTCAATTAAATTTAAATGTAGAGTTCAGTTTCCAGATTGTAAATCCCTATTATAGGCCCCTTGTCCTCCTAAATTTGTAGCATGAATAAGGCATCATTGAACTTTGTTTCTGGGAATGAATGACTTGCCAGGATATTGCATTAAACAGTAAACTAAAACAACTTTTCACCAATAATTATTAATTATTAACTTAGGTTTAATCTTAGCCAAAGCAGAGATCAGTGTAAAGAGGAGGAGATGGAAACATTTGTTTTTAACCTGGTATATGGGCAGTACTAATAGAGATGCCAAGAAGTTCATATTCATTTATCTTCTTCTTATAATGATTTTTATCATGTGATATTTATGGTCTTTACACAATTATACTGATATATATATATTTTTCCTTTTTTTATTCAGGTGCTGCTTATTTAATTTCTTCTGTTTCAATTGATTTATCAAAGTACGCTTTAGACATCTGTAAAAACACTGTTGGTCAGCTGCGTGCTAAAGAAGAGCTCCACAGACAGGAGGCTATGTTAATCTTAAAGAATCTTGCACATCAGTGCAGTGATCCAGGAGCAATGGAGGAACTTATCAACTATTTATTTGCTGTCCTTAATGGTAAGGATTTGTTGAACATACTCTACCAAACAATATTTTGATTGACAATGTTCTTGTGAACAATGTAGAGTGACAACCCATGTCACTGTTCTTATTGGAGTCACAGACTTAAAATTTACAAAATTTGAATTCAATTACAAGAAACAAGCAATGAATTCCATCTAAGTTCTTTGTGAGGTTTGCATGCTTTGGTCCCAAGCAAAAATTATCACAAGTGAATTGAATTGCATAGTTTGTTTCCTATGATGTTGTTTAAGTAACCCAGCCAAAGATTGGGAGAAAAAAGACAAAAACTGTGAGGTAATTGGTACCATTGGAAAAAATATAGTTTATTATTATATACCCTGAGATCCTCCCAAGATCTCATTAATAATTCTCCTTACTGTCTACCATACAATTTTTATAATGTTAGTTTGGATCATTTGATATCGGATCAACTGATTATACCTTAGTGGATATTTTTCGTTATTCTCATCAATTGTCTCCATCATATTGCATACTGTATTCATTTTGGTATTATAAGGGAAATTCTGCCTAACAGTCACTTACAGGAGTTAACGCATTAAATGTTTCATTTCATATAGCTGATAGCTTTTCTGGATAAAAGTTCCCTACCAGTAGTTAACTGTTACATTGCCTGGTTTAGGTTCAGAAGGCAAACTTACTCAGTGGAATGACAGAGTTGGTGTTCTTCAAGGTTTGTTTAGTTATGTATTCACTAAACAGTTAATGCTACATTATGGCAAACTTCTCTGTTGCCAATTCTCTAACAGTTATCTATGATAATGCTCTCGACTCCTTTGACTTTCAAATGATTAAATTATTTCTGAATGTTTCTAGGGATAAAGAGTCTGGAGCACCATTCAGTTAGTGGAAATGCATCTGTGCAAGCATTAAGCCAACTTGTTGCTGAAAAACTTGTGAAATATTTACAACAAGAAGGTTTGGAAATGCTTCATTATCTGAAGGATCACTAGGATTCTTTTTTCTTAGAATTAAATGTGTGACCTTATCCTGAGACCATATGATTTTTAGATTAATATTGTTGTTTTTGCCAGTGAAATGATTTGGCCAGACAGTCAACTTCTTCAATGATTTGTGTTACACTTTTGGGACTTTCATCAAGTATCATTCTTTTAGAGATATTTTTTCAGAAGAGCAATTAGAGTATTGAATTATCAAATAACTTGTGAAGAAATGACAGCTCTAGGTTCCCATTTTATGAGTATGTTTTTCTCAAGTATGCAAGACCTAAAGAGAGTTGATTGTACACCTCATGTCTGTGTTATAGGCAATGTTATAAGTATCTGTGTAGAGAAGTAAAAGAATGATGTTAGGTTTTGCCCTTTTTTTGTTGCTATAAAGAAGATTTTAATCTTTATCAATAATTTGTCATCATTTTTTACTGGAAATTTTCATTAGAGCATTAGGTAGGTTTCCATTCAATAAAATGATTGGTTGTAGAAAAGAAATGATCACCAGCACTAGGTCCAAGTTGTTTGCATTTATAAGATATTTATCTGTGTGAACCTTCTCTTTGTCTTGATTAATTCATACAGTGCATGAAGGAGCTGTTGTGTATGGCCTATCAGTTTTAAGTCACTGGTGTACCCATTTCTCCACACAAGTACCTAAGGTACTTGTTGATGCCTTCAAGGTGAGAATAGTTAGAGGAGGAGATAAACCATCTTACTAAAAATTGTTTAGGAATCAGAGGACATTATTGCTAAACTGTAGCTTGACATGAGATTCAAAAATAGCATTTGATTTTCAAATTGTCGATAAATATTCAATTTTTAGTTGTTTCTAAGTTGTAAGGTTAAAGGACTGGTGCAAGAGCAGAGGTTGTAAAAATCATCTGGTCGCATCTCTATGTTTCTGGAATTCTTTTGTCAAAGCAGAAATAAAAGAACTAAACCCTTACTTTATTTTACAAAAACAGAAAAAAGTTGAATGATTGTGTTTAATAGGGCTCAATGTGTTCAGTTGTTGTAAGGCAGCTCAAAGTTTTTTTTTTTATGCCCGAAATGCTATCCCTTAAAAATAAAATTCAAATCAGTGAAAGGGAAAATGACATTTATGTTAACTTCAGGCTACTTGGAAAAAACTATGATGTTAGCAGTAATTCTATCAAACATATGATTGTCTTTTTACTGAAACAGAGGTCAGATTTCAATTTCATTAGTATGGTGTGGTGTTGTGTTTTACAGAAAGGAATGACTAACAAGAACTCCACCACAGCTGTACGTACTGGGTACTTACAGTGTATGACAGGTGCTTTTCAAGGTATTGATAAATCCTTGTGTTTACCATTGAAAATTTAAGAATCTAGGAGGGTTTATTATGGTAACACTCAACAGTCTAATATCAGTATGTGTATTCTCCATGTTGTTCACTTTAAAAGTTCTGTGGCACCCACAAAGAGAATTTGTTTAACAATCAAGAGCTTCTTTTGTTTGTGATCAGTTCCTTGATTCTTGTGACCTTAACTTTTGATTTTTTGCCATGCCGTGAGGAGAGATTTGATACTAGTCACTCTTAGAGATGAGAAGGTTAATTTTGCTTTTGATAATCTTTGATGATAATGCTAAATTTTAATTTTATTCAAGGTAATACCCTTCTCCAAGGGATGGAAATTCTGCCTCAGTTACTGCAAGTAAGGTTTTTACCCATATTTGTCATATACATATAACAGGTACTTTTCCTCTCTCTCCCTGTGTTTTTCTGCAAAACAGGTTTCTTTAAGAATGGAAAGGTCAAGACAAATTGACACAAAACACATATTGATGTAACAATAATAATTTATTTTATAATGAGATTTCTTCACGACCAGCAGCATATTATTTATCTATGAATGTTTCAAAGTCTTATTTTTCTGAACCTATCTAGCAGTGAATGCAATTTTGATTGGTATGCTCCATGTTTAGACCATTGAAAAAGCCAGTGGCCAACCAAACCAAGCTGCTATTGTTACAGAAGGACTATTAGCTGCCTCCATACTAATCAGATTATCACTTGCTGATGTACAAGCAGGTAACTGTATATGATAAAGATGTTAACATGTTGCGATAGATAAATAAAAAACCTCCCTAGGAAAGCTAATGTGACACTTTTTGAACCCAAGAAGAGTCAAGAAGATCTTTTAAGATCTTCTTGACTTAACAGTTGTGGTTCGCATACAAATATTACTAATTAAAATGTATAGCTTAGCAACATTGACAACTTTTCTTTCAGAATCTAAACTGGGTTCATTTTGGACAACATTCCTGGATATAAAGAAGCAGCTGTTTGTTTCAGACAAATTTTTAAACTTTGCATCTGAAGAAGGTAAAACATATTTTGGTAATGTCACAACAGTGAAAAAATCCTCTACTGGCTTTAGACAGTGCACTTACAAAAAATGACAAAAATTAAAGAAAGATGTTATTCATTAGTTGTGTGTGTGTGTGGTACATCAGAGTCCCCCATGAAGGTTCAAACCCTAAACCTTTGCATTTCCCAAGCCGATGTTCTACCACTGAGCCTTGTAGGACTGGTTTGTTATCTCTCTCCCTGATCATATGAACTGCATGCATGTCAAACTTATTTACTTTTGATGATAGTAATTTTTCTGATTTGTCAACAGCTCTCCTATTACTGGTGTCTGTCATTGAAAGACTCGTCCTCAGTCATGGACAAAGATTAAACAAATCTAATAGCCAGTGAGTCAAGCTCATAATCTTTAGCTTGCTTGTAACCAGGAGAGAGGATTTAAAACCTCTTTAAAGCAGAGTGCATGGGATATGTGATAGCCTATGGTCAGTGTGCTGAGCCCTGTTGTAAGGGCTTTCAAATAAGGTGCCTGTCCCAGACTCTAAGTCAAATGGTCTGTGTGTGAGACCTGGCTGGATCACTGTGTTGTGTTTCTGGGCAAAAAACATTCATCTCAAAATGCCTCTCTCCACTCAGGATAGTAAAATAGGTATTGATGAACCATCAAGGAAGCCTGATGAAATGCTGGGGGTAACCTGTATTGTCCTAGTGTGTCACCCTGTGGGAGTAACAATTTTCCCAGTCCCTTCATGCCATAGAAAGCTTGGACACCTTGTGAGTTGTGAGCCACTTTTCTGGAGTGCAGACTTTGCCCTTTTACCTTTAGCAGTAGGGTGTGGATATCTTCTATATACATCAGAGTTATACTATGATTTTTGTGTATGTGTTTGAACGTGGTCTGCTGTATTCCTAACTTTTTGCCTCTTGTTTTTTAGACCTTGGTACAGAGCTTTGGTATTTCTACTGACTCACTCAGCTTGGAAGGTCAGGCAGAATGCGCAGTCCTGTGTTCAGCGGCTGTTCAATGCTTTAGGAGAGAGTGCTTTAGAACTACAGTGTTTGTTGTTGAAAGAGCTGTCAAAGCTTATTGCTCAACAGAAGGTAAACTTAACAGCCAGCTACAAGAGTTCTGCGTGACTCTTGAAAAACTCTCAGCTTGAATTTATACTCTATTTCACAAGTGATCTAATTATTTTTCTCACCAATATAGATACCTTGCTGTAAAATGAAAGAGCTTTTTGTCTTATACCAACCAATAAATTCTTGTTTTCCTTTTTTGATATAATTTACCTTTAGGTGCGTTATTAAAATGTACTTCGTATCTTTTAGCTTGCATTGCTGACGGTCTTTTAAGCGTTCCGTTGAAAAAGCACGCAGCAAATCTCTCGCAGCTTCACAGCGCACTCAGGGCGCACGAACCCTGCTGCTGTTCGGATACCTCGCAATTTTTAAGAGTACTATATTCCTCATTGTTTTTAGCATCATGTCACAGACAGTTCTGTTCCAATCATGAATGGAGATGCACCACAGGGAGGGTCGCCCAATGATGCAGGAAGAACTAACATCAGCCACAGGATACTTGTGTCCAGTCTTTGCTGCCTGACCCTGTCTCTCGTAAAGAGTAATCCAGACCTGTCTGAGGAAACGAAAGACAAAATCGCTTTGCAGATTCTCTCAGATGCACACCATCCAGCTATCGGTAAATCTCTGTTTCACTTCTTTTCATTGTTGCTCGTGTTGTTTGTTTATGCTTTATTTTTGGAACGTTTTGGAGTAAGGAAAAGTATAATTTTTCTGCTTAAGTCATCTAACATAAGTGATTACTCTTCAGTGTCATTTGAAAAATTATGACGGATATTATTGGCTCTGCGAGTGTTTAAGATAAAGAAAATCCCGTCTTTTGTTGAGTTTACCGAATGGGCAATATGAGTTTATCTTACCTGCTTTCTTTCCCTTAATGGAGAAATATAAAAGTTTTCATATGTCAAGTTTGTACGTTTATGAATGCGTATTTCGCTTTACTAAGATCTGAATAGCATAGAAAGTCAAGGCCAGTCATTCGAGCACTGCTCAAACCAATACTACGGAACCACAGGGTACCTATGGCCAGGTGGATCATAGTGCCCTTGGGCTCCCTGAGACACTGTTTTGTCACCATATTGGCAAGATCAGTAACATTAAATTGTACTCTGCACGCTTAATATGTTTTGCTTCTTGGTGAATAGTTTCATATAAAGGTGAGTTATGGATGAGGATTGTTCACAGTCTGGGGATCGAGACACAAGGCTTTGTTGGGCGTCACTTGGATGCCATAATGGAGATGATAGTCTCAAGCAGCACGTCTCAACAGGTTTGACAGCTGTCTCTTTTTGTTACCTGTTTAGGAGTTCTTTGCAATAATTGTCATAAATACTTTCCAATTGCTTTGGTCTTGTTTTACTTTGTTCAAATTCTTTCGAGTGTGAGCTTTTCACCAATACACGATCTCTGAACTCCGAAGTCTAACTTAAGGTTGATATCTGATACGCTTTGTATCAATCAGCATAATAATAAGCCTTTAAATGTGATTGTTATCTGCCATTTTCATCTTAAGAAGAAGACCTTTTGAACCGCAGACAGAAAAACACATTTATGCATTTTGCAGTATGACCTCTGGACGCTGTAAGTTATCAAGAGGCGCAATAAGATTTAATTTATTTTAGAATGCTTCTTTTGGGGGTGTTCTGAGACACTATCCTTAAAACAACACCAGTAACGAAGTGGAAAATTTCTTCAGTCACGTCATATCTATTCAGTGTTGATATACTTTGGGAGAAATTGTGGATCAATATCAGTATACGAGCAACGGGCGCACCTACCCCTCCCCTAACCAAAAACATTCAACTGATAACAAGTTGGGGTTAATGTTGGGTTAGGGGAGGGGTAGGTGCGCAGTTGCCAAGATACTAACATTGATCCGATATTGACCACCTGCTAGTGGATACATCGCTACAATCTTTATTTTAGTGCTCACAGAATATGCTCCACGCCATGGCGGGACTTGCACCAAAAGTGATTTTACCGAGAGTAGTGAAGCACAGTACAGTTTGTTTAGCAAAACCAGCCTTCCAGCAAGTGACAATGGAGGAGCATGCCATACTGTACACACCAGAAGGAGAGATCCACAACACCAGTGTATTGGAAAGGTTCGATTGATAAGTGCTGTGAAAAAAGCCCTCTAGTTATTTTCTTATTCCAGGAAATGAAAAGAAAAATTCCAAATGTTTGTGTGAAAGTGTCAATTGTTTGCTGCGAAGGTGTCGTTTTTGAGTACAGTTGAAGATTGGTACTGACTCTTGGTGTATTTCAAGACTGTGTAGATGATTGTGTTTATGATGGTGTGACTGGGCTTGTTTTTATTTCCTCAGTGTCAGGGTAGCAGAAGCAGGAAAAAAGCAAAACATGAAGAAAGAATCAAAGGCTTATTCCTATGAGGATCAACTCTGGGAGAAAGATATACGTGAGGTGTGTTTATCGTGATAAAGATGCAACCTGTTACTGCTGAGTGTTATGCTTGTACACTGTACTGTACTGAAATACGGGAAAAAAAAGAAAGAAAAACATCACTATGATGGGAGTGTTGGGGCAGATAATCTTTGTCCCACTGACGCCTATAGCCAATGAATGATTTTCGACTAGCTTTTCTCATGGACGGCAGAGCGAAAGGGGGTGCTTAGCTCCCCCACTTTTTGCGAGGACGACATTTTTGTTTTAGTTTTGGGTACGTATGAAGAATAAATTTCTAAATGATCTTGGGGAGGATGGCCCCAGGACTCCCCTACAAACTTACCTCCCCGGCGCTCGTTTTAATGCCCCCCCCCCCC